TACGTCATATATATAATTGGTCCGAGTTCAAAATAACTACCCAAATATATAAAATTTCCGGCCGCTTTAAAACTACGCCGGAAGTCAACTTAACTAAACGGACCTCCGGTATTTTACAACAGAATTTTGTACCCTGATTCCACTTATAACATTAACACCGCAATTGTTATACTGTATCTTAAAAACTAGCTATATAATTAATAATGCTGGATTCACATATTAAAATAAAAACATTATTTTATAACCCCTAACTCTAAGTTTCACTTCGTATTAACACCACTGGTGTGATTTAGTAAAATTTAATTATTAATTGCAATGAAATACGTATTACGTACAAAAAAGTTAAAAATCTTAACCCAAAAGCATAATTATAAATCAAATTTTTCTGAATAAGCGCATTTTCCCGTAAATTATGACAAAAGACATTTGGTATTATAAGAAGACCAAATTGCCTATTCGAAGCTTTCTGCAAATGTCTTTTTGATAGCATATAGTTTTTTTATCCTTCTATGATTCATGTGATTTGTGTAACATTTTATTTCACAGCTGTAGGGATTTAGCCAATCAGAACTTTAATCCATATCGGAATTTGATGCACATTATAACCTGCAACTTGTCTGAGGATAAGAACATGACTATTAGCTAGAACTAGGAATCGGGAACCGATATAAGTCCGGAGCTTAAATAAAAAATTAATTACTTTAAAGTGTATAAATAAAAATTGTTCTTTAACGATCAAAAAATGTAACGATCATGTAACACATAAGTATCAATAAACATTAATAAGCATGTAGGTAGTAGCCAATCAGGTAAGCGGAAACGAACAGACGGACACACGTGACACTATCGATCAAACAGCGTTGTAAAAACAGAGTGTCCTCCGCTTCGCTCCGGACAATTATTGGATATTTGCGCCCGGGCAAATTTGTCTGCAAATACCTTACGGTGTAAAAATTAAAACATCAAATATCTTTATAAAAATATGTTCAAAAATATTGTAGATTATAATTAAACAAATCCAAAGCTCAAAAAATAAAAACAGTTGCCATTTATAAAAAATTTAAATCATAAATATTTTTTAACATTTTTTATTTATTTAAAATAATTAAAAAATAATCAAATTTTCCAAATTTTTAAAAAACAAACAGATTAAGATAAAATCTTATATTAACTCAAAAAATAAACAATTATTTTAAAAGATAATAGTTCTTATTTGGATTTGGAGTTTAATATCAATTTAAAACCTGATTAATATATTTTTTCTCAATTAAATAATCAAGTATTATCTAAAAAGCAAGATCAACATTAGTTTACATTAGTTTACGAATAAAATATTAAATCTAGTAAAATATTATTTACCTTAACACTTTCTTTTAAATTTAATTTGTCGGTACGGATATGAAGTTCCGGGGATGGAGGTGGTTCATAAGGTGCCGAAACGCCGGTGAAACCTTATAATTTCGAGAAGAAAAATCTGAATATTAACAATTACTAGATTTTGCGAGTAAATTATTTGATATTAAAATACCTTTAATTTCACCCATTTTAGCTTTTTTATATAATCCTTTTGGATCACGTTGTTCAACAACTTCGAGAGGTGCATCAACATAAACCTGAAATAATAATAATGAATATTAAAAAAATTGCTTTAGCGCAAATTTTATAAAATTTTAACAAACCTCGATAAATGGAATTCCACTATCTTCATGCAATTTTCTTGCAGCATCACGATCAGATTGGTAAGGAGAAATGAATGATGTAAGCGCAATTGTTGTAGAATCTGCAAATAATTTTGCAACCTATTGATAGGAAAAAAACTTTTTTTTATTTTTAATTGGTAAAATGTAAAAGTGTAGAAACCAAATCAAAACAAAAACTCACCTCAGCAATTCTTCTAATATTTTCTTCACGATCTTTTTGTTCAAAACCTAGATCCTTATTAAGCCCAAATCTAATATTATCCCCATCAAGCCTATAACATGACGAGCCTAAATGCAATAACTGTTGTTCTAAAGCACTTGCTAAGGTAGATTTTCCCGAAGCAGACAATCCCGTAAACCAAATCGTTAAGCCTTTTTGACCTAACAACTTTTCGCGTTCTATGCGTGAAATATTGCCCTCGTGCCAAGTAATATTTGTAGACATTATCGTTATAGGCTACTTCCAAGAAAAGTTAAAAGTCAAATATATATTATATATATATATTTTTTTCGAAATAAGAAAATCTATCCATTCTTTCGAATTACATACAAGTATTACATATTAGTAAGGTTGTAGATATTATCAAAAGTAAATCTCTTGTCCCGTTACACGGATCTTTTGCCGTTTACTTCCAGATAAGGTATGCAATCTGCATACGCTTTCCGAAAAAAAACTTTATTCAACCCCCACAGCAAGAGGGGGCAATTGACCAAAAATTTTTTAATTTTGTACGTACGTACGTACATAATTTTAGATGCCTATTACTCTAATTCTTTAAGAAATTAATTTTTTTTAAAAAATTTTATTTATTTTTTTTTTGGCCCATTGCCTCTTGCTAGTATGGTACAGGTCGAATTTTATATAGTACAGGTCTATCTGATGTTATATATATTAGCGTTAGGGGAATTATAGCTGATCAGTATGATGGTATGGTATTTAAATTTCGGCCTGTACCATACTGATCTGCTGTAATCCCATTTTTGCTGTGGGGTTCCCAATTTGTGTTTGGAAATTTTGCCATAATAAGAAAAGAATAACAGTAATTAAAAGGATAATGACAATAAAAAAGGTAAAATCGGAATGAATCTTATGTTTACCGATTGATCGTATTTAAAAGATAATTATATAAATTCTATTCACATTTCAAAAAAAAAATTTTTTAATTCTAACAATGACAACGGAGCAACAGTCAAATATTTCTAGTATGGCCAAGAATCCACTTTTATTATATCTATTAGGAGATTCATTGACGGAAGGATACATCAATTTTGGTACAGATTTTCACTCATATAGTATCAACTTACAGAAAAGATTCAAGCAAGTTGGAATTGAAGTTGTTGTAAGCATCTACGAGTAAAATGAACAACTTTAGTTTTCATTGTGATTACGTAGAATGTTTATCCTTTTACAATTTTTTATTAATTCTGAAAGATTAAAGAGGAAGGAGTATCAGGTGATCGCGTACTTTCAAAATATATGGAAAAAAGGTTAAAGGAATTTTTAGAGGAAGTTTCGAATAAAAATCAAAAAGTTGATTGGGTTATCATACTTGGAGGTAACTTTTAGTTAACCTATTTATTCATATCGATATTAGTGTTAGTGATTGCGCTTAATTCAAATTGACTGATTTTAGATTGACTAAGTCGATTTTAACTAACACTAAATCGTATATATATACTGTATATTGTTATATATATATTGATTACTAAACATCTATCTATATATCTGAAAAAGGTACAAATGATCTGTTTAGTTCGAGCGCGCAAAGAATTTTTGAAGGTTTAAAAAAACTTTACAATGTTTGTGAAGAATATAATACCAAAGTTTTAGCAATGTCCATCCTTGAATTTAGAGCGGTATGAACGATTACACTGATAAATTAATTCTGCTGAAAATTAATAATAATGATTGTTATTTTTGAACAAATAAATAAATTTAGGCATTGTCTTCGTCTAGTAATAATAATAAAAGGATAAAAATTAATGAATTTATTAAGTAAGTATTATTATTCTGGTTATTAATTTGTATATAAAAGTTGTTTTTTAAGGTCTACAATGGATTTTTTAGAGATTACGCAGAAACGAGCGAAAATGTTACGTTTTACGATTTAGCCAAGGATCTACCATATGAAGATAATTTATATTGGGATCCTGATGGTCTTCATTTGACGAGCGATGGATATGATCATATGGGGGATTTGATTTTTGAATCATTATATAAAGAGATTAAATCAAATTAATTTAATAGATGTTTGGAATTTTGCCATTATCTTAGACGAAATTGGCGTTATAGACTTGGCTTCGAAGGAGTTGGTTCAAAAATCCGGATATACAATTCATCGAATCTCTATCTGAAAGGAAAGAGAAACTTTACATCTATTATTTTACAGTTCATTTATTAACTTTTTTTGTTAATATACGATATAGATTAAGGTTATATCAATTGTTGATGCCCTTAGACGCTACGAACCATAGCGATGGTCATCATAATTTTACTCTAAATAAAGTAAATGTGCAATTACAGGATAAATACCATTAAAAAAAAGTTGTACAACTCGTACTCATTAGAGGCCTGCATTGAGTCCCAAAGCCCGGCCCGACCCGTTTTGCTGCCCGGGCTTAACAATTACAGCTATTACAGCTGTTTTCATAATCCCTAAAACACCTGATAAAAATTTGCCGAATGGTTTTGGCCGAAATTATCGTAGAAAAGTATCACATATAATGTATAAGGGATATATCAGTATATTGTGTAAATTTAATTGTTGCGTTGTCCAGAACTTTTATAGAGCTGGCACTAATAATGCTGGCAAAATTTTTGTAATGCAGATCAATCATCATATGCCACTGCATTAATTACAGCCAGGGTTGTAAATGTAAACTTACCGATAGTAAGTTACTGGTAAAAACCAACCGGGGTAAAATCGCCACCCAAAAAAATTTCGAACATCACGTGATACAACTAAAATTCGTGTAACTTGAATAA